AAAAAAAAAAAAAAAAAAAAAAAAACTTGGGCTAATGATGGTTCGTGTTTGAACGTGCTCGAACTTGTAGATATAAGCTCTACGAGCTACGGGCACTCAAGTTCGATATGGTTCAAAGTATGCATCATGGTCGAACATTGTCGTCACCATTCAAGACGTGTTGTCACAGTTGCTAGTTGGGCAAGGGAACTTGACCCATTGAGGGTAGTTTACCTTTCTTGCTTATTGTAGTTTATTATATGGTCTGAGCTGGAAATTGCATTGTTCAAGTTATTGTCGTGCAAAAAGAGTTTCACATGTGGGTCATATAGAAGTCTTGTTAATCTACTAAGAAGACTTAAAAATAATTATCGGCCAATATGGAATATTTAGTCTTGTAATGACTAATAATCATTTAAAGAAAAAAAACATCATATTTGAAAGTGATTTTTATATTTTGATAATGGGCATTTGATGGCGTGGGCGTGGGCGTGGGCGTGGGCGTGGGCGTGGGCGTGGGCGTGGGCGTGGGCTAGGGCGTCTAAAAGGAGGGCCTCCCAACCTAGGGTTTGCGTTTGACTGTTTTGTCCAATAATATTGGACCAATTCGATTCAAATTGGTTCGAAACTTTTATCCCGTGAACTTGAAATTCGATTAGAGCCAGTTTGGTTTTGGAACCAACCTGACTCATAGGATTAAAGGAATAACACCACCTTTGAACTTTCAAACTTGAACGAACGTCCTCATATTAATAATGTTCTATCAATAAAGCTCGATTAATTCACTTTTTGACAATTTAATTGATTTAAATTTGTATCAAAATATTTATGTTCAATAATTACAATTTATCGAACAAATTTAGGAATTTATATTTTCCTATTTGTATTATTTGTGTTTATTTTTTTTATAAGAAAAAAAAAAGTAAAAACTTCACCAAACACCATTTATAACAATTCAAATGGGCCATACTTTTATTGTAATTATAATAATTCATCATCAAATTTGTCAAAATAACAATAATAGAAAATTAAATATTTTAATCTTAATTTCATTTTTGTTTCTTAAAAAAAATAATTTTAGGTTAGTTAGTTGGAAAAGTTAAATTAACTTAGTGAGAAATCCACCTTTGTTATAATAATAATAATAACAATAAAAAAAGTTAAATCTAAATATATTATTCAAATTATGATTTAATAATAACCTAAAATGTCAAAACAATGAATAATATTCCATTTGAAAGAACATATTTACCTTTTATTTTAATTAAAAATTAAAATATGAGTCCAAATACAAAATAGTTTAAGGCTAAAAATTAATAATTTTTCAAATAATTTTTATTTTTCAATATTATAAAAAATGGGATAGAGTCGGAGAGCGAGGATAAAAATATAATTCTCCGTCACCCGTTCCGTTTAGCTAGTTAAAAGAAATTTATCTTAATTTTTCATTTAAACGAGGATTCTTGTTTCGGTTTGAAGAGCGGGTCCAGATAAACAAACATGTAATGAAAATATAGCAACAATATATAAATTATGGTTTTAAAAAATTGAAATTTAGTTTTTTGGTGAGGAAAAAAAGGTTGGTTTATGTATAAATATGGTGATGTCTTCGTCTCCAAGTGTAAATCATTCACCACAGAGAAAGAAGGAGAAGAAGAAGAAGAAGAAGACATGGATTGGTTCTTATGGCTTTCAAGAACAGCTTTACATCCTGCTCTGGTCTACGAGTACGGCCTTGCCCTAGCCCATAACCAGCTTGAGCGAGAAGACATCCGCTATTTCAACCACGAATTTCTTCAGAGTATCGGAATCTCCATTGCCAAGCACCGTCTCGAGATCCTCAAGCTCGCTCGCAAGGACACCGCACTTCGTCCTCGTCCGATCACTCGCCTTCTTCTCGCTGTTAAGAGTACCAAGCGCCGTTTTGCTAATCTAATTCGTAGTTTCACTTGTCGGGATCAAGACGACTCCAAAGCCCTAGTTCTTGTTCCCAAATCGACTTACGTGGGTAAATTTCTCAAACCGAATAGGAATTTGACTATCGCTAAACAGCAGGGGAAGTTTCTTCTCACTAATCGAAGTCCGGATACTACTGGTCTGTTGCCGCGTGTTCACAGCTTTTCCGGTCCGATTCTGTACGGTCTCCGGCCGGAGGAGAGGAAGAAGAAGAAGCAGAATGGTCACTGGAGGAATGGCGTCCAGGAGATCAGGTGGGATACAATGTTTAAGAATTTGAAACCTACCTGAATTAATTCCTGGATTGATTTTCTGAAAAGATCTAATGTGTTTTAACAATTCCATTACTGGAATCCACTGTGTTTTGTTTTGAATTGAGTTAATTCTGATGGTGAGAGATAGGTTTTTGGGATCTTCCACCAAAAGATGGATAGATTTTAGTACATTACATTACATTACATATTATTACAGTGGATGCTGCTGTGCATGGGAATTGGGAATGCTTCACTGTTTCTTTCTCAGTGGTGGGTGGGTGTAGCAGAAGACAATCTTTAGGAACAAGAAGGGTGTGATGATTCTCCCTTTACCTTGTTTATTTCTCTGTTTCTTGAGTATCATTCGTTCGTTCATGCCTTTGGCTCTCTGTTCTAACAGGCTCAATGAATGGGATGTTGATTTGTTGAGTAGACATCATATAATCTCTGCCAAACCCAGCTTTTGTGCTTGTGGTTCGAGGCTTGTAATCTCATACTGATTTGTTTGTATCTCACTTATTTATTACAATTTTCACTCTCTTTTGCATTTGATTCCCATCTTTTCTCTTTCTTTCCTCGCATGGTTAAGATTTAATTTGTTTCTTATTGAGAAAGCAAGTTTGATGTGCTTTGATTGAAGGCTGCCTTGGGGTTGGGGAAACCATTTATTTATTTATTTATTTGCTATATGTTATAGTGTTGACCATGTTGGCTATTTTATTATAAAATATAAAAGGGTAATAATTTAATGAGATATAATGGAAAGATCGATGGTTAAACTATGTTCAAATTTACATATATTATAAATAGAATAAGTTAAATTATAAGTTTAGATCCCATGAGGGAAATAAAGCATTCCTTATGAGCGTACGTAGACCATTTTCCTATTAGATGCATTTTAAAACATTGAAGAGAAATCCCAGAAGAGAGTCTAAAAAGTATAATATTTGTCGACGGTGGGCTTCGGGTGTTAGAAATGGTATTAGAGCCAGTCACCAGATAATGTGAGGCACTAGTTGAAGTAGAGCTGGACTCTTTCTATAGTTAAACCGTGAGGCTGCCGACAATATCTTATAGTAGTGGGCTTGAACGGTTACAAATGCTATCAGAGCCAGACACCAAACGGTGTGTCAGCGAGGATGCTGGCCCCTAAGGGAATGGATTGTGAGATCCTATATCGATTGGAGAGGGGAACAAAGTATTTATTTATTATATTATAAGAATGTGAATATCTCTCCTTAACAAATATCGTGAAGCTTAGGGAACAATTGAATAAAGCATGATGATGAAGTTCTTAATACCAAAAAAAAGGCATATTTCACATGGTGTTCATCAATGCACAACACTAACGAAGACATACATAACACACACATCCATTTTTAACTCAGTTAATACAAGTTTGGCCAAAGCCAACCACAAAATCTATCAACTTTTGGTTAGGCACTGCCTCGACGAACCGAACCGAATCTAGCACAGCGCTTCAACCTATCTTCAAAATATCAATGACCTGAATTCTGAGGCAACCGGAACGAGCCACCCGCGTACAGCATTTGATACACTGGCCTTAATCTAACAGTCAGAATGATGCACAAGATCGAGCCTAACCCGGCAACGCCTGAGAGGACGAAGAACGTAACCCTGAAGCACTCTTGGCCTATGCAGGTTATTGAACCTTGCTTAGCAGCTTCATTGTCGTATAAAGTACTCGCGAGTAGAACCGAGAAAAGGACTGCTCCTATCGGATTCCCCAGCTGCATGAAGTTGAAGATTACTCCGAAATTCTTTAGGCCGAAAATCTCGGATGCGAGAGGGACCATCATAGCATATAGAACTCCGTAGCTGATTCCCATGAGACCAGTGGCGACATAGAGAGTAACCGTGTGGGCGGACGCATACAGTAGGAATGCTACAGACATAAGCATAAGTGAAAACATCATCCACAACGAGCGAGGTATCATTCTCGACCTGCATCGACCAACGAATGTGAGCAACTTTATGAGAAAACCACTAGACACATAGATTTGGAAGCATAATGATCCCCGAAATCTGGGAACGAAAGCGAGCTGTTTCTGAGATAACTCATACACAAAAGTTGGAACAAATTATTAATTCGGTTCGTAATAGCATTTACCTGACGAAGTGTTCGGAAATAACGCCAGATCCTAGACGACCAACGAAATTGCAGAAGCTGAAAAGAGCCAACAGCAATGTTGTGTCATTAACACCCAATGAAATCCCAATTTGAGACAAATTGTTGAGAACCGTTATTCCCGGACCGACCCCGAGGAAATACAAGAACCAAAGCAACCAAAAATCAGCTTTGATCACGGCCTCACGGAGCTTGAAATCTTCCCCTCGTTTCGGTTTTCTTTTCTTCTTATGAATCGCCCCCTCTCCCACAGCAAGAAGTGTTTCAACATCCGATGATTCGTCGTTCTCATAGAAACTTCCAAGATTTGTAGCAGAGGAAGATGGGGTCAATAAAGGTTCTATTTGGGAAGAATTGTTTTCTCCAGAAGCCAAAGGTTCGGTAGAGTCGACTCGAGGGCCAAGTTTTTTCGTTTTAACAGAACAAATGGTCATTTTTATGGGAACAGCAAGAGGAGACATTAAAAGGACAACCATTATGGCAACTAAGGTGTAGGCAACAGCATTGCTAGGGGTCGTCGTTGCATCTAGGATTGTGGTCGAGACTAAAAAAACAGCTAGCAAAACACAAGCAGCTTGCGTGAAAAGAAAATGATTATGCTCAGAAGGGTCCTCCGTTGAAGCCGGAGTACAAGGTCGAACAAAGTACATCAAGGCTAAACACAAAATCGGTATCCCGATCGCAAGAAACAACAGTAAATCCAAAGCAGACTTTCTGAGAACCATACTGTATATCACCGTATATACAGCTGCGCTAAGCCCGACATAACCTTTAAGAATGCCAGCAACGGTACCTCTGCTGAGAGGGAAGTTCCTCATGTTCGTAACGAGCACGGCTGTTCCAAACCATGCATTGCTATTTGTAGCAATACAATGTGTGAGCCATAGCTGCCATGACATTCAGGATGTTTAAACCACATGAGCTATAAATTTTCAACGAAAGAATACAAGATCAAGAAGCAAGCTAAAAAAAGTGCTGAAAAGACAAATTATTGGTAGTTTAAGCTTGAGAGACCTCTAAGGGGGGTGTGTTCAAGTTCCTCTACTTACACAGGTATTCCTATTCCGTTCTCCGAGTTATCGATAAAGCTTTTATTTCAATTCTCCCGTTTCAATAAAAAACGATGATCAGATATCAAGCAATCAACCAAGAGAGATATCAAAAGGGGTGTAGTAGAGTTGGTAGATAATAGAATGGTACAAATGGGAAAATCTGTTCGGTGAGATTCCACAACGATTGGAGAGAGGAACGAGCGCCAACGAAGACGTTGTGCCCCGAAAGTGGATGGATTGTGAGATCCCATATCAGTTGGGGAGGAGAACGAAACATTCTTTATAAGGGTGACGCGTTCTAAAAACCTTAAGGGGAAGCCCGAAAGGGAAAGCCCAAAGAGGACAATATCTACTAGCGAGACGGATTGTGAGATCCGACATCAGTTGCGGAGGAGAACGAGCATTCTTTATAAGGGTGTGGAAACCTCTCCCTAACAGATGCATTCTAAAAACCTCGACGGAAAGTTCGAAAGGGAAAGTTCAAACAGGACAATATCTACTAGCGGTGAGATTGGATTCTGACATGTTGGGAATAGCAGAGTAGAACGGAAAGTAGATTGAAAGGAACTTGAGAATCAACGAGACTGAGAGTTTCGAAATTGCTCGAATACGTTAGGATTCATCTCGATATCAACTTCAACCTTATCCATTGAATATCCATGGATTTCATCTAACTGATTGTGCTTGTGAGTTACATAAGATGGATAGTATGAGCATATTAGCATCAATATACTAGCTTAGTTTCATTCAGATCATCTGAAGAACACAAAGCTTGCTCAAATTTATGTTTTATTATCTACTTTTTAGTAGTGTTCTTAAAAAACCAGGCAAGTTTTGAAAGCAGCTTTGATTTCAGATCTCCCAGAAACCAATAAATATGTAAAACCACCTCCATTAACAGAGAAACATCAAGGTTTATAATAACAAAGCAAACAAAGAAACTAATCTGTACAATTCATCAAGATAAGCAAATAAAAACCAGGAAGAACCCCAGAAGTTCTTGAAAAGATGAACATTAAACTCACCAGCCAATAAGGCAGATTGGGGACAGTCCTGCTAACAGCAAGCCAAATAGCTCCATAACCCACAAAGCAACACACAGCACCGACCAAAAGAACAGCCCATGGGGGAAATCTGTTACAAGCAAGGCCAGGGAGCAAACCCACACTCTCCCCAATGTCATTAGCCACTCCAAGAACCGTAAGCTGCTGCTGATTCAAACCCAGAACAGATTTAAGCAAGTGTGAGTAAAGAGAGAAGTTATAAGAAGAACCAGCAGCTATTTGAACCCAAACAGCAGCAGCCAAGCCCACCCATGGCGGTCTACTTCCCCCTTTCAAAACAAGCTTCGACATACCCTTAAGATCAGGCGATTACCCTTAAACGAACAACAAAACCCCAGATGGGAAATGGGTTTCGATCCCTAAATTTGAGGGTTCAAAGGGTTTAAGAAGAAATAGGAACAAACTCAAATTGGGTTTGATTTTGTTTGCGTAAAGCAGTAGGAGAAGTTGGTGATTTAAGGAATGGAGAGGTTTAGGTGTCGAATTGAATAGAAAAAAGGGGTGTAGCCTGCCAGGCGAGCCGGCTCCCAACACACGCAGTAATAAGAAGTTAAGAATCATTTTCTTTTTTCTTTTTTCCTTCAAAATTGTGTATCGTGTTCATACTTGTCGCTAGATCCTGCTTTTCACAAGGTATGCACCAGATTCAATGGTGGTATTAAAAAAAGTATAAATGTAACACATGGAAGGTTAGGGTTTTCAATTTTTAATACCCATGTGACTGTCGAGATGAACCTTGAATTGAATCATTCATGATTTTCATCATTGAATATAAGCTCGTGCCCAAGTTTTTGGTAAATAAAGGATGAAGAATCGAGAAGAGTAAAAAAAAAAAAAAAAAAAAAAAA